CCCCCCCCACGGCCCCCAGAGACCTGCTGGGCCTCCAGAGACGCTGCCTTTATCCCGGGACCTACGCCGCTCACCTGGAGCGCTGGCTACAGCACTACCAGCCCAACCAGGTACCCATTCAGCTCCAAATGGAGAGATACAGTGGGGGAAATAAGTATTTGAGCCCTTGCTGATTTTGCAGGTTTGCCCACTTACAAAGAATGCAACGATCTATAACTTTAATCATATGTACATTCTAACTGTGAAAGACAGAATCCCAAAGAAAATTCCAGAAAATCACATCATATGAATTTATAAAAATTGGTAACCATCTGATGAGGAAAAATAAGCATTCTTTGTAAGTGGGCAAACCTGCAAAATCAGCAAGGGCTCAAATACTTATTTCCCCCACCCGTTTAACTCTGCCCTAAATGGGCCTTCCTTCTGTTAGCTGTTTTATTCACACACACCTCAGAGGCAGGAGGCTACAACACAGCTAATCTGTGTTTGGTGGCTTTTCCCCAAACGTTGCTGACACAAACTAACACCAACTAGTTGACTGAGTCTATGAATACATTTTTAGGACAGCTTTTGAAATTCCAGCACGACAGGTTTCCTTTGCAGAATGATGCAATAAAATCAACCAGTCGCTCCTATTTTATATCCCAGCCAATCTCAAACATGTGAATAATGTGGGTCCTCCAGGTGTTGCCTCTGATGCTGTTGTGATGTTAGTAGGGATGGGGATGGAAACCCGGTTCTATCAAGGACCCGGTTCCACTTTTTTCAAAACCCGAAAATCAACACCGTTTGGGCTTATCGATACCACTATGGAGTCTGGTGTTTTTTTTTTATTATTACAATAGTAATTGTGAAATCCGTGTTGTAATCGGCAGCATACAAGCTAGTTAGCTTGAAAAGTAAATCAAGTTTCAGACGTGCTGCGTGATGATGTGTTCAGGTTGGCTCAGTAAAACCACAATTAGGTTATCATGATGCGTTCAAGTGTAACGTAAAGAAAAGGGAAATTGAGTTTTTGGCGAGAAACATGAGTAATACAGTTGTATATTGCTCTAATTATTTTAGAATATATAATTAAACTACTGATGCCAACATTTATTAAAAATTACATTTAATTCAAAATACAATTATTTATTTGCTAAATATTGCCACATCGTCTTTCCACCAAATAACAGAAAAGTATGGATAGTGGTATCGATAAAGACTCGGATCGATAAGGAGTATCGATAAAGGTATCGATATCAATAAATATTAACCATCCCCATCCCTGGATGTTATTTCTCTCTCTGTGGTGTGTGTGTTTTGCTCAGCTGCACGTTGTGGACGGGGCCGTGCTGCGCTCTAACCCCGCCCTGGTGATGGACGGGATCCAGAGGTTCCTCGGAGTCTCTCCTGTCTTCAACTACACTCAGGCTCTAATGTTAGTGCACACTCACACACAACCAGAGCAGACGCACACTCACACACAACCAG